AATACCCTGTACCACAGTGTGGTGAAGGGTATAAAAATTTTTAGCATTATTTTTCCAAATCCGATGTCCTGAAATATTTCTCTAATATAACAAACATAGTTCTTATCCTATATTAGATCAATCAATCGAAGAAAGTCCCCTTATCCACCTATTTTTAGTGCATCATCAAAATGGCTATAGATTAGTCTACTGAAGATTTGAAAATCATATGTGAATTGAGCCAAAAAGAATATAGTTCGGAATGACTAGTACCCTTGTTTGTTATGCCCTCCGCCAAAAAACGTTTGATCATGTAGAATTTTAATATTATTTATTTTTACGAATATAACTATATATATATGTGTGTGTTATAATTACAAATTATTTTGGCTTAAGATTTATATTAATTAGTTGACTCCCCTTCGCCCTGCGAATATTTTGGCAATCATGGACAAAATACAATCCAGTACTTAATAACAATAGTATTTTTTCTCAGGGGTATAACACGACTCACACTGCAACTTAAAGTCCCATGTTAATTTGCAATTGCATCGAGATTCGGTTAGAACATCCTTCTTCTCAACGCTGTAACCACATTCTCCGCAAAGATTATTGCAACGTAGTTTGTCCTCCGCTGAAAGTTCTGCATCGCCAGCTACACTTGCACATCGACCTCCAACCATACCATTCCACTGGGGTACAGCATCCAATTCACAATAGTTGGGAGAATCTCCCATAAAGACCAATGCATCCAGGGGTATGTTTTCCCACAAGATACGAGAATTGATTATTGTATTTTCCAGAAGTATACCTTCATTGTACATCTGACGAATCTCATCGGCAATCTCTTCGAATGGTTTCAAAATTTGACGACAAATTTCATTGGTACATTTTCCCGCTGGGCCCATTGCTGAGCAAACACATTGCTTGGTTAGAGACTTTTCCAATAGATTTGTAATGGCTTTGTAGTTGTGCGTGAAAATCTTGCCATAGAACTCATTGGGGAAATTAATGTTCAAATATTTCCTCAATAGTTTCTCGGCTGCTTGTGGATTATCTGAACATTGTGATGAGTATGGGTTATTCGAGCAGGAACTACATGCCGATACCATGCCACTGGAGCATGACTTGGTGGTGGTGTATAAGATAGCTGCAGTTGCGATTGCCTCCACATAGGCTCCTTCACGATCCAATTCTGATGACTTAGAAGCACGCCGTAGATTGAAATCGGATAAAGGGCAGTTCCAACGTTCCCATTTAAATGATCGCTGACAATTTTCCATAGCCATTTCCATACTTGATTCCATAATATTGTCCAGATTGAGGGTAGCTTGTGGTTGATTGTACAACATATTTGTATAGATATTTTGAGATGGCAAATAATTCAGCTGATACAATGGGGATGCCTTGCAGATAACAAGCCATGATATTTATATGGATCAGGTAGAAATGCCATTTTGATGTTATTGTTGTCCAATTGGAATAAATCTGACGATTCTTAGAGGGGAAATTGCTGGAGTGATACCGGAAATTTTGTTTTGGTTTTTGTGTTACAAATATTTGTCGTAAATTGTGGGCAAGGAAAAGTCATAAAAATGGGTTAAATTCAGGTAATTTCCATTAAGTTTTCACACGCTCTAATGAAAGTTTTGCAAAAATTACTGAATGTTGTGTGGGGAAATGTAAATTATGGGGATAATCCAAGATTTGTGTATCACGGAATCGATTAAGGGAAATTGATATAAACCTCTTGTGCGTTCCTACTCCCTACTAAAAGGTTTGGAAAAAAAATAATGTTGTGTGGGGAAAGGTGGATTATGGGGATAATCCTCGTTTTGTGTGCCGATTAAAAAATCTGTTAGAGAATATTATATAATAAATATCTGCATGAAATTACTTTATTCCTATGTTATTGATATTCGTTATAGTTAGAAACTTCTAACATGTATACAAGATTATGAAAACATATATTGGGAAGTTGATATATATTTGTATCTAATAAGCCGATTAAGTAATATCAGTAGTAGCATAATTTCCATATTTTCAAAAAATATGCAAGATTTCTACTGAGTTTTCCAAAATTCGAAATAAAAAATACCCTCATCTTAAATCTCCCAAAACATTTAAAAATGCCAGACGAACTTTAATGTTTTGGATTTTCAATAAGAAAAATATTGGCAATATATTTATTTTACCTAAGCAGTAAGGAAAATTATTATGTTTACTTCCCATGGTAAAATCCAGGTAATAACATTATGTCGTATTTCCTAATTTCCGGTTTGGGATATCACGCCTAGTAAGAGACATGGAATTCCTTTGTTGATAAAACCCAATCGGAAGAATTATTTTTCCAGAATAATAGAAAAAATCCTTAATGGTAATCCACAAAATCAGCTCTGGTTAACCAAATAAGATCCCTGGCGCCTCGTTAATATTGTCAACATGAAGTGGAAAGCCCACTTGGTCAATGAACTTTGGCGGTTTGTTCATAATATTTCCGCACTGTAAATAATCCAATTCAAATACCTACCCAATTAATTAGTTAGGTTATTAACCCATATATGACTCAATATTTGTCGCATATGTTATGTGTTTACCATATTTTAGATGAAAATTCCTTGTCGTGGTATCACGTTTTCCCCATATGGGGGAATATGTCTCAATCTATAGGAAATCACAAAAATGAGGTTATCGGTTTTGACATCAAAGAAATTCCAAGTTACTACTTTGGGCGCGATGTGATGAAACGGAAAAACAAAATTAGTAAACGCGCCAATAAGAATTTACCTGGAGTTTTACTTTGTGTAGAATATGTTTCCGTCCACAAATGGTTGAAACGGATAGGATAACAACGTAAATATTTGGGAATCTTATTGAACAAATCTGAATTATTGAGGAAACCCTACTTTTTTGAAAAAGTTTCTGGAAAAAAGGAACTATTTCAGCAGCATTTAAATGTCTTATATTTCTTACTAATTCGTCGTATTCTGTAGCAAAGTTTATATTATATAATTAGACATGCGTTCGAGTCCGAACTTACCAACTCCTGCTTAGAAGATTTAATTATTTTGAAAACTATGTTTTCATTTGTATTAAAAATAAATTAACGCTTGTCTTCGAAGTCATTTCATTTCGTATATAACTATAATAAGTTGCAATATTTAAATATTTTATTTCTATATTTTTTCCTTCCGAATTAACCTTTTTAGTGCGACACCAGTTCCTGGGGACCGACGCTTTGTCGGATCAGCTTAAGTGGAGTGGAATATTGGCGTCTCACTGATCAACATTTAAAACAAAAAATGATATGCATATACATTTAATCGGTTGATTAAACCGGCGTTAAATATCTGAAATTCCGATTCCAAAATTTACCAATCAGGATCTGTCAGTCGCGAATAAATGTTAATAAATTGTTCAGCATAATGAGACATAATAATGGTAAATATTTAGGAATAACAAATGTCAGCATCAACATTTGTGGATGACAAATGTCCACTACTAGGTATCTGACGACTTTCCTAATTATACTTTGGAACAGGGCCTCTGCTGCAATGTTCCTGCCCAAAAACCACATTCAGGATGTAAATCTAATTGTACTTGCATTTACAACTTTTCATTCACTTATGTGAGGCACAACGTTTTAAAACCACCGCATTAGTCCAATTTTAGTGTCATTAGCACTTATTTCCAAAATGAAAACCAGAAAAGCAGTGAAGTCGGACGAGGCCGATTATATGATACCCATCACCACTATGAGTATATTAAACAGATTAAACAATTTCCAATATTTCTCACCTTCGAACTTAGCCCCCATTGTCCTTTCGTCCTTAATTTATTGAAACGGACTTTAAGAACCAGATTTGTAAATTTTTGAATCGGATATTCAGATAATAAAACCGGTTTCAATAACACAAAGGGGCTAAAATTATTTAACAGAACTATTATCGGTTTTATTTTCTGCATATCCGGTTCAAAAAATTAGAAACCCTGTTTTTTCCTTGACATTTGTTTTATTTTTTATTTCGTTTTTTACCTATTATGTTATTAGAAAATAATTCGAATCCGAATACATACGTATATCATCTTGTGATAAAAGGACGAATCGAGTTAGAAGAACAAAATGTTCTACACAAAGTTCCTCATTCGATTTTACTGAAATGAAATGTAATCTCAATAAATACATACGATAGCTATAAATAAAGATATGAATATCTCTTTAAGTATAATAGGGTCGCCAGCAAAAAAATATCACTCCATATCTACGATCTTAGACCTATGACGAATTTTACCTTCTATGCCTTTCATATACTCACTAAGGTTCTACAGGACAACTTTTTCTTGTGCCTCCCACAGATAATAACATCTTTGATAAAACATATAGACACCTTAAAATTTATATAATCGGCTAAATTGAAACAACATATGTGGCACCTCCCCCAAAAATTTCACAATTTTGGACAATTATACATTTTATAAAAATTACTCCAACTCGACAGTAAATCTCTGCAAACCAAGACAGCATAAAAATATCAGTATAAGTGTATACTAAATAGTCATGTGCTGAGACTATTGCAAATGGAATGTTTAGAAATATTTTCAAATTTATATTCAACCAGAACTTAATGTCCCGGATAATCATCGTTAAAATAAAAACATCCCATCTGGTTAAAAAATGTTCCTCCCCTCCTACAAAATTAGGACAATTTCGAATTCACGTGTTTACGTGATTTAATAATTAGTCATTGCAACTAGTCAAACAATAATTACCTGTATACAATGCATTTGCTGTGACAATTTTATGACACACACAAATAATATGCACATATGTTGCCACACAAGCATGCTTTATCCTGATGCTCGATTTCAAACTAATTTTACTACCTGTCTCATATAAATAGCCTGTTATTCTGTAACCAAATCATTATTTGACCAACACTACTCAAACAACCAACACAAGATCTAATCAGAGAAGCAGAACCATGCTTAACAAAATCATTATTTTAATTTTCTGCATCGAGATGTCCCAAGCGTCTCTGCTGCATCAACTGAATTTTTTGGCAGCTCAAAGTATCTACGCCAATAAGGTATACACTCCTCTGCAAGCTCCCTTCTCTCTGGACAACGTTATGGGAACAAGCATGGAAATGGCTATGGAAAATTGTCAGCGATTGTTCAAATGGGAACGTTGGAATTGTCCCACATCGGATTTTCTACTGAGGCGTTCATCACCATCAGCGGAATTGGATCGTGAAGGTGCCTTTGTGGAGGCCATTGCAACAGCAGCCTTAATATACACCACCACCAAGAATTGTTCGAGTGGCATAACGGCCGGGTGTGGTTCTTGCTCTGATAACCCCTACACAACTATTTGTTCGGATAACCCCAAAGAAGCCGAAGAACTCTTGAGGAAGCACAGTGATATTAATTTTGCCAAGGATTTCAAAGGCAAAATTGAAAGCCATAATTACAAGGTCATCACAAATCTGTTAGAAAAATCACTTACCAATCAGTGTGTGTGTGCTATTATGGGTCCCGGCGGCAATTGTGCTAAAGAAATTTGTCGTCTAGTTTTGAAACCATTCGAAGAGATCGCCAACGACATACGTCAGATGTACGATGAAGGAATTCTACTGGAAAATACAATTATCAATTCTCGTGTCTTGTGGAACAATATTCCATTGGATGCATTGGTCTTCATGAAGGATTCACCCAACTATTGCGAATTGGATGCTGTACCTCACTGGAATGGTATGGTTGGACGTCAGTGTGCAAGTGGAGCGAGTGAAGAAGATCTATCGGATGAGGACAGAGAACGTTGCGGTTATCTTTGTCGGGAGTGTGGCTACACCGTTGAAGAGAAGACTGCCTTAACGGAAACACGTTGTAATTGTAAATTGACATGGGACTTTCAATTGCAATGTGATTCGTGTATAATTGCGGAGAAGCATCACTACTGTTACTAATGGTGATTTTTTTCCACTCCGGATTATAACACTCGCTGGGCGAGAAAAATATTAAGGCGGAATTATTGATATTGGATTCCATGATTAAAAATAAATTGTAAATATTATGCAAATATAAATTTCTGTTTTTTTTTTTAATTTATTCTGAAACTAAACAAAAATATATGTTTAGTTTCAATCTTGGAAAAAGTTCGCCTTAGTACTAAAATAGGGTATTGACTAATGTGCAGGATTAGAATTTTGATATTTGGAATGCGAGTTACAGGTGGTATATAAGGCACCCTACATGTTATCAGTGAAACTAATTTTTGGTAACGTGAACTTAAAATTTACAAAGAGTACTAACGAATTGGAATTTAGAGATTTGGTACCGAAATCAATATTAGAATATAGGGATATAGTAACGAAACGGTTTCTATAAAACGTACAAAAATTGTACCTCAACTACTAAATGGAACATTATATTCTACTGGTAGTATTGAAGGAATGAACATTTAGTAAGTATTTGCGTCACTGTTGGCATGTAGGGTTATTTAAAAAATCCGCACAAAACCTGTCCGAAAATTAATGAATTGTACTTAATTTAGTAAAATTGAACTATGTTATGGGAATCGAATTTTTGGTTTTATTGGTTTGGTTTTTAGAATTTCGGAAGAAATAAAAAATATACAAACAACAGCATATTTGTAAGACTTATTGCTTAGCCTAAAAATTTGGAAAACTTTTAATTTTTAAAAATTTGCCTGTAGATTATAGCTAGCACTTTAATTTACTAAAACAGAATTTTAGTAAGTAACTCTGTCTGTAATAAATAAAATGCTATACACAAAAATGGGAAATTCTAGGTCTACATTTGTTTTAGTTCAAAATAAAAAAAATTGGCCCAAAAATATTTTTCTGATTTTTTCATATTAACAGCGGTCAAAAATCTACTTAGGTCTATAAAACTAGAAAGATCTGACCAATATTCGGTATGCCTCCTATATAATAGGTCTTGGAAATTGCACTCCTTTCACATATAAACTTTTTAATTATACCCTACACCACACTGTGGTACAGGGTATTATGTATTTCTGCATATGTTTGTAACAGGCAATAGGAAACGAGTATATATCAAATTTCTATGTCGATTTATGCATGTCCGTCCGACCATGTTAAATTGTAAACCAAATACAGGTCGTATTTATATTTCGAATTGGATGAAATTTGGCAAAGCTCATTTATTTGGCCCAATAACGAACCCTATTGAAATTGGAAAAAAATCGGTGCAGATTTACATATATATGTACCATATATATTTTCGTCCGATTTTTAGAAAGTAGTGCACCAAAGACCCGATTGGGACAAGCCGATTGGCACAATTTTCACAACGTTACCATAACATAATGTGTTCATGTTAATTGAGCTCCAAATATTAAAACGGTGTACAATTGATATTTGTTTTATTGTGACAAACGAATGGCAGTGATATACCCATAGTGATGAAGAGTATCCTGTAGTCGGCCCCGTCCGACTTTACTTCTTTCCTTCTTGGTTGAATTTTGACTTAACTGTCACTTGTGGACAACTGTTAACACCACATGATATATATATATATATATATATATAGCAACCAAAATAAACACTTCTACAATAACCGTTAATTCTAATATTCAAATACAGTAAAAACTCGCTAATCCGGATAATTGATTGCAGACCCCAATCCGGATTACCGAGATTTCCGGATTATCGAGTTTTATTAATTGGTTTAAATTTATATTAATTTGGTGATAATTTAATTATTTTTATGTTTTTATTAAAAATGAAAATTATTCATTTCAAAAATATGAACTTTAAATATAATAGGTACCATTTTCAATTAAATTTACTTGTGGATAACTGTTAACACAACATGATATATATATATATATATATAGCAACCAAAATAAACACTTCTACAATAACCGTTAATTTTAATATTCAAATATTTGAGCATCAGGAAAATAGGGTAATTTTTCGAAAATAAGTTCAACAAAATCAGTTTGCAAACAATTATTAGAATTTAACGATCGTAGAGACAAAACTACTTGAGTTATCAATATAAAATTTCATATTTTTCTAATCTCATCAATCATTTGTCCTCCGAGTCACTTGGTTTTGATCATTTTTGGGCGCCGTGGGTACATTATTTGTTTGGGGGTCTTGGGCACGTTTTCCAATCGAATAATCTCTAATTTGATTTTTTTATTTTTTTTCACGCGTAACAAATATTCTTACGGATTGATGTAGTAAACATAAAACGGTTGTCACCATTTTTAACATTTTGATGACATTAGCTACATTTTCCCACCGATGTGGCCGTAATTTGGTATAAAGAGTTATTGACATAAATATATGTCGGAATTTTTAAGTTTTTTGCAGCATTTCTTATTTTGGTGGCTGTAATTTGAAATTCCGAGATATTAAATACATTTTGCGGACATTTTGAAAGTAACATACAAATTTTCCACAATTTCATGTAATTTCCAATATTTATAGCTTTAAAATTATATACAGTCGAAATCGTTTTAACGACTTATCCAAAAGTCCCGAGAAACGTTCTGCTGTTATTTCGATATCGTTTTTAAAGACATATCACTTATAGCGACCAATTTCGCCGATCCCTGAACAGTCGTTATAAGCGATTTCTAATGTACTCATAATTTTAATCCGTTCATTAAAGCCGGATTTATTATGAATTATCTTTAAATCCGGTTCAATTGATATGCTTATAATTTTAATCGGATTTACCATCAATTCAATTCATCACGCATTAACTCAAATACTTGACCAATAGCAAATTTGACCTTCTAGGTTCTCGATATGTTCATCGAGGGCATTCATTTCAATAAGGAATTTTCCACACCATGCGCTTTATTTTGTAGGCGTGACTTTATGAATTTAGAACCAAAAGTATTTTTAACTCATTTTTTATGTAGTTATTTAGTAGGTGCTGCTAAAAGTAATTTGAAAGTCATTATCAACAGGTCAAGTGTGCACCCATCATTCTGTTCATCCTACCTGTCTCTGTAACCCTTCACTTGTTTTAATTTAAATCATAAAACACTTGTTCACACAATGCCATAAAATCAAAATAAGGCTATAAAATGAAGTCAGGTAGAATTTGATAACAACAAGTTTAAAATATATGTTAGTTCCAATTCTACGAAAAGGAAGCCTAACACTGTATAAAATCGAATAACTTAGTCATATTAGTTAAAAATAGTTTACAACTACCTGTAAATGTTCTAACTAAATTCAAAGTAATTGTCAATTCCTTGCAAGTTAACCAATTTTGTTCAAAAAGCGTGACTAATTTTGTTTTTATTCTTAAAAATATTTGTTGCATGGGATTGTATACCAAAACCTAACCAAAATGGTTGTTATAACCACAAGACATGTGTACCAACATATCAAAAAATATATATTTACAAGCCGTTAACATAATGTATGTTTATATACCAGCCTTTTGTAATTTGTAGAGATTGAAAATAGAGAATATGATTTTCCAGGGATCGAAAATCATGCCCGCCAATTATTTTCTTGGGTCTTCCTTGGCCAAAACTCCTCCTACATGCAATTTGCCCAAACCTGATACAGCGTTTAAAAATTATATGGACAGACAGCTAGTCGAGTTATGACGATAGGTAATCTTAAAGATGGGTTTAGGACACAAAAGCTATAATACCCTTACAACATTGTTGTCTAGGGTATAACAAGAAAATTATAGTCCATATTATCTGAAGTTCCTCTATATATTTCTATATATTTGACTCCAAAACATTTAGAATTAATCAAATATTTACTTATGGAACCTTGTTATCGAATCATACCATTTTCATTTCATCCATTTCCAACAAAAACAACATAAAAAACAATTTTCTCCATTTTTTATTTCATCCATCCATCAACTACAAATTTCTTAAAGCAAACACATTTCTTAATTAACCCATGCCGCTGGTTTACCCTCTACCCGATAACCATTATAGGCCATATTTGAGGCAGCAGCAGCTATCTCCGATCTGCGACTAGGCTCACCGGCCCAATATGAGGGTGCCACCTCATACGTTTGCATTGGTTTGTTGCTATTCCTAAACGCCGAAATGATTAACAAAAATATGGCCAATTTACCCACCAGCATTGACTTCATCAGCAGCAACTTCAACTTCGTTACCAGAAATGGAACAATGGCCGATTGTATGAGAAATGGTAGAATGAAGAGGGGTAAAATGCGTGTTACCATTTCGTATTTTTTGCCACGACCTATATGAAAAGTAAAACAAGAAAACAAACAAATGGAAGATAATAGTATGCGAAAGATAGAGGCAATTTTGTTAGAATTAGAGAAAATTATAGGCGGGCAAAATTACCTTCTTCACTGCTATCGCTTAGCCAACGACCTGTTACCAACTCTTTAAGACTTTCGCCATCGAGGTTAACCTTAACTATGCTATTGTCTAAATCCAATGACATGTTAAGAGCTGGTCCGATATTATATTCTAGTCCAGAAGCAGAGGGTGGGGGCGAGGGTTTCCTTTCATTTGCAAATATGTGATAGCTGGAATTTATTTCTTTTTCACTTGAATCAGGTTGATCTGTGACCACAGCCAAATCATCATCCTCCTCAGCAGCAATTGTTGTTGTCAAAATATCTGTATCTTCTGCCTCATCAATATCTTCAGCTACATCGAAGCCAATCTCATCATCATCATCTTCCTCACCATCCCCTTCATCTCGTATCGATTCATTTTCTTCTAGTTTTTGTTGTTTATTTTTCATTTTCTCCCTTAAATGCTGTTTGTACTCTGTGAGGGTCTTATTGCCCAGATAGGTACTCTTGTAGTTCTTATAAATACCCATGAATATGCTTCGCAATGGCTTCGATTTCTTTTCCATTTCTTCGGCTGTCATACTGCGACCTTCTGGCGCTGGACTCTCTTCATTTTTCGGTTCACTTAAATCACTTATTTCTTTTAATTTCGTATCCCCATCCAGAGGCAGATGAGGTGGTGATGTGTCATCCACTCGCTTCTGGAGGATACCCTCCTCATCTTCGGCACTTAAACTGGGATCGGTAGAACTTAGTAAGACACAAATAACTAATAAACCGCTTACTACGCTCTTCATCTTGTAAACATAATTTTCTTTTTCTTCCGTTCAAGAACAAAAAGGCCACACTTCAGCGTTCCGCGTGTACACAAAACCGTGAAAAACTCTTTACGACGTGCAATCACTTGAATGTCAACGGGGAAAATGCGTTCGTCTTCATGTTTACCATGGATTTTTATTAACTTGGCTGTAACGGAGCTGCTTGCTCCAGCCACAGCCACAGCGAGTGAGCGAATTGCTGCTGTCACACATTTGTGACCAGCATTGGCTGTTGCAGTTGCAATTTATCTGGTTTAGTTTCTTTGCCGCCGCTCTCATCTCCCCCTTTACGAAGACGCGTTCTTGAATTTCCATTCAACGAAAAGTTTCTTTCACTCCATGGCCATTGAAAGTTATTGCCAGCCGCATGAAATCTTACAACTGGAATACAAAAAGAGTTTTTCCTCCTCAGCTGGCTGGCTGGGCTGCCTAACTTCGTTGAATATTAACTCGTTGGCTCATTGGCATCAGGAGTTAAATGCGGACTTAAATAAGTGGCTTATTTGTGTAAGCTTTTGTTCCAGTTTTAACAATGGCAGCAACCGCACCAGCATTTAGCCTCCCATAGAGTTGCACTTTTGAGTTCATGACTAAATTATTTAAGCAAAAAAGAAAATACATGATAATGAAGCAGAATACGCGTTTTCCATTAATGATCCTGGCATTCTACAATGTCTGACTGACTCAGTTGGAACAGGTTACAATTTTCCTCCAACCACATCATTTTTTCTTTCTTTCCTGTAATAATCGATTTGACTCTCATATTGATGCAAGTTTTTTATTCGAAATTGACAATGGCCAGTTATAAAATCCAAATAATTTAGGTTAAAATGCATCAGTGTTTTGTGGTCAGTTTGGAATACTGAACCTGAATTCAACCTAACAAAAATATGATAAAATTCTATTCAAAACGGATATAATAAAATAAACATTTTGATGCGTTTTCATAATTGGGCCTATTTTCGGAACAGCGCCTATTTAAACCCTCCACTATTAATTTATTATTCCGTTTGCACCATTCACTGGAAAATATTCACATATTTTGGAACAGAATTAAATTCTACTTCCCTACCAGATTGGCTTACCATTTGAGCTTTTTATAATATAAATGTTTATCGTCAAAGAATTGACGATAAACCAGAAGAAGTTGTCCCATAGAACCTTTTAGTGGACCTAACTTTGTAGTGGAGTTAATCGATGGGTCGCATGTGCAAAGTTTGCATCAAAATAGAAACTCTGTCCGTGACAGAAGTCACAGCAACATACAGCATTGCACATACGATGGTTCGGAATTCTTTTGGTGGCTACTCATTGTATCGGCTACATAAATACATACACACTGAGGCTTCGGCTTATTGTTCCACAAAGGGACTTCGGTTTACTGTTCCACATAGAAACTTCGATTTACTGTTCTTAGTTAGATATAGTTTGTACGAGCTCCTAGTCAATATGTACTACTAACCCTTTCCCGATCATCTTTAAATCGTCGTAGCCTACCATTGTGCCGACTCACACCCGACAATTAATATTCCCGACCACAACCTTATCGTTGCCGACTCCCGAAAATCACCATTCCCGATCACCGTTGAATCATCGTTACCGATCGTCGTCTCCGACTCTTGGCAACCATAATTGTCGTAATCTCGATAATCACAAGTATATTAAGCCATCCGAAATCAATTATTTTATCGCATTGTTATATAAACAAACCACTTTTGAAATCAATAAACATCAGATTTAAACCATAAAAGGAGGCACTAGTCTATTTAGTCAAAAAAGTTCTGTTGGTCCTTATGGAGACCTTGGACACGACTGGACTAACCTCAGCTGACGAGAAAACCACGTTACAACTCCACTAGTTGTATACTGGATTTATAAATTTTCAAAATGTCAATAGTGTTGCAGGTTATTCAGGATACCAATTGTATTTTGTTATTGCAAAATAGTCAGTCGTAATACCAGTTGGTTGTTTTTATGAAAATAACTATTTTTAGTGGGTTAAGTATGGCATTGTCCACACAGGGGGTAAGGTAAGGTGTTGTGCAAGACCTTTACGTGACATAGAGGCATCCTTCAGTATTTTTCTACAACGGTACATATGATTTTGAAAAAATGCAATCGCGATGCCTTCAAACACGTTCCTTAGATGGTCACCGGTGATGAATTATGCGTATTGCTCCGAAACAAAAATAGAATAGACTTCCAATATTCCGCTTGAGAAACATAGTATGATTAATTCCATAGAAGGAACAATTTATTGCCTTTTTGGCTGGCCAATATGTGGAATTTATGGTCATACGCCGTACAGTGCTGACTTATCAACATATAGCTTATTCTTATTCCTCAAAAGTCGGATGGGGCTGAGTATATGACCCCCTTCACCACTTTGGATACATACAAGACATGCTAATATATACAATACAATTATATCTATAAAACAGACATATAATCTTTGGAGGACCATTGAAATGGAATCGAGCGAAACTAAATGTGTGATCTACATAGATATTTTAACCAATTAAAAGCCCATACACATACCATTCTGAGCTCTATGAAAGATTGCAATCGGATTGTTTTGTGTAGCATTTGTTTAAAATGTGGAGCTATATGTGAATCTGGACCTAATAGAACAACCATGGCATATACCATTTGGAATACTGCAGCACAGTGCTCTGTCCACAATTTTATCTCGTGTATATCGAACAGGCGTAGGCTCATCGGTGCACCATTTACATAAAAATATCAAAATCCAAACCGATTTTTGCAACTTTTATACACATCACTCTAAACTCACGTCTGCCAAATTTCGTGTAAATCAAATAAACGTAGGCTCTTCGGTGCACCATTTACATAAAATCGGATGGAAATATATATGAAAGTTATATCTAAGTCTGATTCGATTTTAACAAAACTTCGCATACTCCTATCTGAACCTAACTCCGTACACTGCGCAAGATTTTATCTCAATCGGAAGAATATTGGTAGTTTGGTGCACCATTTCCCTATAATCTGAAGAAACTATATATGGGAGTTATCTAAATCTGAACCGAAACTCCACAGACATTAAACTGGACTTAATTCAGTACTATGTGCAATCGGACAAACTTTTGGACTTAGCTAAAATCGGACGAAAATATATATGGGAGCTATATCTAAATCTCAACCGATTTTCTCCAATTTCAATAGGGTTGCTCCTTGCGCCAAATGTAAACGGAAATAGGTCACACATTTAATTTTGAACGATATTATGTCAACGGACCTCCAAAAATTATATATCTTTTCTATTGACATGAAATTGTATACATATAGTCAAAATAATTGGAGATGCATGTTAGAATCATATTTTGGTCAGTCCGACTATTGTACTGACATTACTGATTTTCCTCTATTTTCAACGTATATTCTTGGTGTAGCACTTTCTTCTTTATATTCAAGAAAAAACATTGTTGCAATATTGACAACATAAATTAGAATTTCCTGTTCGTTAATATAACATCTTGAACACTATTTTTTTCTTTAAACAGTTAAATTGAAACGGACCTTGTAAGTGTGACTGTTTAATCAAATACCTGTTTCACAAATGAACTGTTTAACACTAATAATAGGTATTTAGTTAAACTATTCGTTTTGGTTGTTACCACCAAACGAATGAACTTCAATTGATTTTTATTCCGTATTGATTGACCGCCACCCGCCTCGTTTCGAATTGTCATGGTCAACCTTACACAATTCAAACGAACGTGGTTTTGTCACAACATTTCCCTTTTTATAAACATTCAAATCAGTTACAAATCGTTCAGTCAATGAATTTCTACAAAGAAAATACCAGAGCCTACCTCCAACTATATTACACATTGTCCAAAAAAATAATTCTCTAATTAAAAGTGAAAGTATTGATTTACTACAAAGCCTACGTCATAGGTATGTTCGCATGACCCTTTTTTTATGCATGCACATGAAGTTCATCGTTTAATTTTGTCGAAATTAAAAAAAAAAAACTAAATAAATACTTATGACCATATTCGAAATAAAGAAATTATGATGGCTATTTTGATTGGTGACTATTTAAATGAAAAGAAACAAAAACTAAGCTAAGCTACCGAAAAGACAGTAAACCGAAAAAATATATAAGCAACAATATAAGCTTCTTTATAGGGATTAATGTTTGTTGGGAACAGTGGGATAGGGTATTAAAAATTTGCAAATTTTATTCTTTGTATGACCACTTTCCACCATAAGGTGAGGCGTATATTAAATTTGCAATTCCGTTTACAACTCCTCGAAATATTCGTCTAGACCCCATAAAGAATATATATTCTTGATAAAAACAATTGTATTTTTGTTACCAAAAGCTATAAATTTAACTTCTTAGGTTAGCCACCATATGTCAGTATTTGGGGAGTTTGGACACGGGTTTTAACAAAATTGGTTCTAATTTTCTTATCAAAAATCTTTTGGTATAGCCAAACTGTAACACAAAATTTAAGAAATTAGATGATTATGAAGTGTCAAAAAATGATCAATATAAGTCATGTTTCTACATAGCTAACATATAAAGGACACAAGTCTTTTTAAATAGGGCATATGACTGTAATTTGGATGTAAATCACTTATTATCCTAAAACGACTCGAATCCATTTCCAAAAATCAATTTATGTTTTTAACATCAAATAAAATAAATCTATTAGAGAGATAAACAAAATATTTAAGCTACAAACACAGTTTCAGATTTTCTCTTATTGGGTTGCAATACTACTAATTCTATGTTCATATTTCTAATTAGAGTATAATATTAATTCAATTTATTTCTAACAAAATATATTGATCCGTATTTTGAAATAAAAAAGATCAGCATTGTTGTTATTTATTGTTGACCTGACAATTCTTTAATATTATTGATTACAATATTTCCTTTTGGCACTCATTACCCATAGTGCAATAACAACATAACTAATATGATGAATAGCATTAAATGAAAG